CATAAGTCAACACTTCTGGCTTAACTAAGTAATGTTGAACTTAAAATGAAATGTGATTAGACTATCCTAACTAGGCTCACAAGATAAAGTAATCGTGTAGGAAGGCTATGGCTTATAGAAGCCGGGGGGACAAGCCTAATGACTGAAAGCACGCAACGCCATATAATCAAATCTTTATATCGTGACGGTAACAACATGGCCTCACGCTCTAAAATCAAGTGCAAAACTTTCGCTTATATAGCACTTCTTTCTCCTTTAACATGAATAAACGCGTGCTACCTAATTTACATTCTGGCACGAAAAGCGTGGGTGGAAAGGAGAGAGATAGGAAAGTTGCTTTAATTGAAAATTAACTATTAGTCGAAATAAATCAGTAAATCCTCACGAAGTGTAATTGTTGACAAAAAAGATGTTTCAATGGAATTAAATTTAATTGTTCAAAATATAATTCTGAATAATAAATGTTACAACGACACGCATGCGTGCAAGACAAATGTATGCAAATGCGTCGAAAAATGCGAAAGATAAGCTGGAATATTCCGCAGCATTAACTTCGATTATACTTTTCTTGTAATTCATATGTGAAAGTAATACGAATGAAGAGCAGAATGCAAGGAAACATAAAAACCTTTCGTAATCTAGGACAAGAATTCCGTTTCGAAGCATAATATGAACACACTGTTAAGTTATCACATCTTTTCCTATATCTATATAGCACTGATCTCAAACTGGCGGCTTGCAGGCCGTATGTGGCCCCAAAGCAATTTTATGCGGCCCGCGAACACATTCCAATTATGTATTTGTTGCACAGATTTCAGAATTTATATTACTTAAAGTCTGAATTTACATTATTTTCATTAACATTAACAACCAACGTCGATAAAGCACCAGAAAATCTGTAAATTGAGCTAATCAATTTACAGTGTGATATAAATCTCATTCATAGCCTTGAAGCTATAGATTCGATTAACTTTTATTTACACTTGTGAAAAAATAAGTATCCTCAGTTACGAATTGTACGCTAAAAATTTTCGCTTTGTTTGGGAATACTTTTATATGTTTATAGTATGGTGCACGAGGCTTGCCAACGACAGGTGGAATCTCGCACGTCTTGCCACAAAGAATTTCGTGGGTTTGTTCTATTGTTCTGTCAGACAAGTGAGATAAGTCACGACAACATACATTTATATGTGAACAGATTCTTTTCACATTTGAAAATTAATCAGAAAAGAATCCCTTTGACCGATCATCATCTGTAAGCTGTGATGAAGATAATTTCTAGTAATTTACTTCCAATGCACTGACATTATGCAGACTGATGTTATATTTACATACAGATTTATAATTATTTACATCTTTATATATATTAGCGGCTAAAGTGTGTGTCGCCGATAGTTTATTGTTGCCACTCGGAGTAATGAGCTCGGAAATTAACGTTTCCGCAGTTTTTAATTAATGTCTCGGCCGATTAAAGTCGTACGAAGATGAGAACGGTACCGATGGATTCTGAAAATTTTTTGGAATTCGAGGATACGCGCCTCGAATTTCAACTCGGCGCCGTTCCATAGATATTCGAGAAAAAAGAATTTAGCAAGTAGCCAAATGCCAAATGCCTGTAATAAGGAAAACCCAAGAAAAAAGTGGATAATGTTCGGAAAACGTAGGGGAAAATTAGCTTTTAATTAATATCTCGGCTAATTCCCAAGAAGACGCGAATGTCCAAGACGCTAATTCCCAAGAAGACGCTAAGTCCCAAGAAGACGCGAATGGTCAAAATGGCGTGCCACGGACCTGCGGAATCCAACGATGTACTTCGCTAAGCCCGGGAGCCAGCCGTTTCGAAGGAGATGATATCCATATAATATATATGCGGCTTAAGTGGCTGTTTGTCGCCGATAGTTTATTGGTTGCTTGCGTAACTAGCCAATGGGGTGAAGTTGCCACGGCACAGGTTTGCCGTTTCAACTGAGACGTAGACAATTTCCTGTAAAACTTGCCTTTGCTATGGCCATCCATAAGTCTCAGTGCCAAACGCTTAAGCGTGTTGGCATTTTTTTTTACCTGAGCCTGCATTTGAACACGGTCAACATTATGTTGCGTGTTCAAGAGTTCGTGAAAGAACGGACGTAAAATTAAAAATAATGGATGGTCCTCTGCAAGGCGAGCTTAAAAATGATGGAAAGATCTACACAAGAAATGTTGGGTACAAGGAGATCTTTGACATGTAAATTAACATTTCATTATTTAAATCACCTTTATTGAATGAGCTAGCGGTGGCTCTTAAGAAATATACCGCCAGTGGTTTCCTTCATTGCACTCTACTTTAAGCAAGTAGAGGGGGGAAACCCCGTGGGGCTATAAGCAAAAGGGCGTCCTCGCCGGCTGCCCTGGGTAATTCAGTTTAAATTAGCAGACACCTTTGCGCAAATCATTTTAATTACAATTTATAATATCTAGAACAGCGGTCATTTCGTATGACCGCCGGGCGTTCTAGTACAATTATATGTATTTTAGCAATTATATTTATTAGTATTATTGTGCAATTATATTTATTATGTGTAGAAGAAATGTTTAAGGCAAATAAAAGAAAGAAACTAAACTGTCATTTTCCTTCTCAAGTTTTGTCCCATTTGGGGAATTTTCTCTGAAAACTCTTTTCCTGTTTTTTAAAAACTTCATATTCAGTTCTTTAATAATTAATTCAATATATTAGAATTATTTTAGGTAAATGTCAATCTGAAGCATTAATATATAGCTGATAATACGTTTGAATTACAAAGTATAACCAACAAAAATGCCTTGCAAGTGTCAAAACCTTTAGATTTCAGACAGAAAATAAATGTAAATTTGAATTATTTTCTTTGCGTTATTATTATTGCTTATACATGTTACCGATAAATTCTTAGCAAGCGAAATTTAAAATTTAGTTAAAATATTTTTTATTTTATCGATAAAAAAATTGCCTTCATGCAGTTTGAGTTTGAAACCAATGGTACGTGCAATTTTAGCTGCTTTTGCAGCGTGGGAGAGACTGAATAGAAGACGACCAGATAAGCGTTCAGAAAAGTGACAGAGACTCCAAGAACGTTAGAAAGACTTCATACATCAGATAAATCGGATAACAGACGGAAGAAAAGCACTGTAGACAGCCCTTTTCGATCATAATTTTGTTACCTACATTTAAATAAGATTTGGTATTGTGTAAAAGGGATCACTGTTTGTCAATGAAATAGACATTCACCGAAAACCCGATTGACGAAGACGGAAATGAGACACTAAGAAGATGTAATCACAATTGTCATTTGAAAAAGGAAGTAGAAAGGTGCCTGTTTAGCTCAAAGACAGTCCAAATTCCTTCTTAAACACACTACCAACTACTGGATGTCAGTTCAAAAGAAATGGAGCCGTTCACAACAGAAGATTCCTTTCTTTGACGAAGACAGTTGAAATAACAGTTTGCAAGGGAATTACAAGACTGATTGTTTGACGTAATGAAAGGTCAAAACGCGCAAATAATCAAATAAAGTTTCCTTGCTATGAAGCCAAGCTGATGGCAGGTGATCTAGACAAAAATGACACATGAAGACAGATTTCCGCATTTCTGGAAAACAACTCGCCACAAATCATGTGACCGAACTTTTAGAAGCTGGATTTTTTTTTTTCTGACATTTTATTTGTCTGTTACTTTGAATGCAACCATAACATTTAAATATTTACATAGAAGAAATGACATAACTTATAAGGTAAGAGTAGAAAAATATTGTTACGAAATGTAAAGGAGCGGTAAGATGGCTTTCCCGCAAAGCAGTTTTAGGGTTGCCATAAAATGGCAAAGGAAGGCAGGGTTGCCTCATTTTGCGAGAAATCGCCCTTTTGGCGACAAAATTGGCGATATGCAATGGACAGATGGTGAACCTTCTACAACGAATTCTTACCGGCTTAGCCGAGAATGTTCTCGAACCCCAGTCAAAAGCTATATAAACCCTGCTGGCCCGCAGTCAGTTAGTGTGTGCTTCGAGAGTGCGAGATAGTTAGTGTCTCGAGTCGATCCCGAGTTTACAATCGGGAGCTGTGCTCTGTGTGTCGTCGAGAACATCGCGAGTTGTAGCATGGAGAGTCTCGAGAGTACGTGGAGTTCCGAGAACGACCGAGCAGAGTCGGGAGCTGTACTCTGATGCTTTGCAGTGCAGCTGTCTCCACCGTTATTGCCTGACAGTGTGAAAGCTGTGTCGCTGCTTGCTACAGCTGTTTATAGTAGATCTTCGACAAAGTGACTTTGGAGCTGTCCTGATTAATATTGCTAAACAAAGTATGTTTTGATATTCCATCAAGTGCTGTCGTCGTTATTCAGTAGAAGAAAAGAGTAGTCCGTTAAGTCGCCACTAGGTGACACTGATGATCCCAGTGCCATTGAAAACTACAACACTCCCTCTTAAATATACACTTTTACTTGGCGTCAATGAAACCAATCTTTGCTCGATACTTCATCCTGTCTACTATTAACAAACTACAGCTTGCATACATACGCACAAAAATGAGGGGACAGTTCTATCTAGGTATAATTTCAATTTTAGAATCGAAATATGGAAACAAAAATCGATTTGTCATTTCAAAATAAGGCAGATTTTGTGTCAAAATACCTATTATGTTAGAACAATGCTACATATAAATTTAATATATATCTTAAGTCGCGCTTTCGAGACAGGGAAAATGCAAGTTCAATTTTGACAATCAGCCCAGTCAAACGAGAGCTATAGAACTGTCCTTTTTCTTTTCTTTTTTTTTTTTTTTTTTTTTTTTTTTTTTTTTTTTTTGTGCAAAGTGTGCAGCGAAAACTTGAAATCCTTTATTACTACAACTCCTGTAATAATTATGGAAAGGGAAAATATTGCATTTTGCAGTAAAAATTTGTTAACAAATTTCAGCTAAAAAAATTTTACTTTCTTTTAACGTTTTAGCTGCCATTATGTAAGAAATAAAAAAATAAATAAATAATTTACCTGTAACTGATAAACCAAAGCACCAGGAGGTAGGGATTCGCCTATGAACGCCTCATAAGGAGCACCGATGAACTCTGGGGCATTATTGTTAATATCTTGAATATTCACATTGACCACAGCGACAGAAGACCTAAACAAAGGAATATAATTAAGGATCATGCAATAACCGCTCATGTTGAGCACAAAAAATATTTATATGTTTAATCAATTATCTATAAAAAGCAGTTCTTTGATCACTTTTTAAAATATTTCCTACAGTATTCGCTAACATAAATTTTAGCTGCATTCAGTCATATAATATGAATTTTAGTGTGGATTACTATTGCTCATATATAAAGATTCGAGACCTATATTTTAAAATTTTAAAAGCTACAGAAGTTTTGATTCAATTATGAATATAGTATTTTAAATAGCAGCACAATAACATTAACAAAATGCTTTATGCTAAACTCACAAATTGCTAACATTGTTTACTCTGGAAAGTTTTCTTTTTTAAATTCGCTTAATGCTAATGAGTTTTAGAGCTATTTTCTCTTTTACGAACTTCATAAATTCGCGCTAGCAGTGATAACGTATGAAGGCTGATATGAATTATACAGCAAATTTTAAAGATTTTTAACTTTAAAAAATATAAGCTAAGAAAGCTGTGTAGATTTAAATTATGGAAGCAAAAGTTGAGTCTTTGTATACATTGCAGTAAAAACAACTTTTACTTAGATATTATAAGTACGTTTTTGAATTGCTTTCAACACTAAGTTTAGGGACATTTTTGTATACCTATACTTAAGAGGCACGCCGCCTAGATGGGTGATTAGTGGTTAGTGAATCTGACTGCCGTAACGAAGGGGCGGGGTTCGAATCCCGGACAAGGCGCGGATGTAATATTACCGTTCCTTCATAGGACGCAACGGCGGCCAAGCTGCTAGGTGCCTCCATAATAAAGAGATCACCGTTTCCGGGTCATACATTCTTCACGAATTTCATTCTGTGTACTCTGGTAGACAGTAACTATGCCTCGCATACAGGTGCGCGAACGATATGCGCAGATGTTAGAATTTGAGAGAGGTCGTGTAGTCGGCTCAAAGAAGCCAATTGGTCTTATCGGCGAATAGCTCGACATTTGAGCAGGAGCGATGCCACTATTAGACGATGTTGGCAGGAATGGGTGAACCATGGCCGCACACAGCGTCATGATGGAAGTGGTAGGCCTAGAGAAACGACAGAACGTGAAGACCGAGCAATCGTCAGAGTGGCACTCACAGCCACAGATGCATCATTATCATCGATTGTACGTGCAATTAGTGCTTCAGTGACCGCAAGGACTATTCATAGACAGCTCACAGAAAGGGGGCTGAGGTCACGGCGCCCCTTTCGCCGACTGCCATTGACCTCTGTACAACGTCAAGCCCGTTTGCAGTGGTGTCGGGCTCATTCGCACTGGAACGTCACTGACTGGAGTAGAATAGTCTTCAGTGATAAGTCCCGCTTTGAACTGAGCTCGATGACCAGCGAAGGCGAGTCTGGAGACGCCACGGACAGCGGTGTGATACCAACCTGACTGTCTTCTGGCAGACAGGCCGACAACCAAGAGTGATGGTCCGGGGTGCCATTTCATTTCATAGTAGGACCCCTTTGGTCGTCATCCGTCGCAAACTTACACACAGCACGTCACGGCACGTTGTAAGGCCGCACGCCCGCTGAACGCCACGCACCGCCCGCCCTTCATGTCACGCCACCCTGGGCTTACATTTCACCCCACACTGCACATGTTTCCACTGCTTGTCGAACATTATCTTGGCCAGCAAGATCGCCGGATCTCTCTCCTATTGAGCACGTTTGGATCATTATGGGCAGGGCCCTCCAACCAGCTCGGGATGTTGACGATCTACCGCGCCAGTTGGACAGAATTTGGTGGACAAAGGCGTTACTGACTTTTTCACTTTGTAAAGCTCTATCACTTCGATAAATCATCCAATTTTTCTCAAACTGTAATCATTTGTTTTTCTCTACGTGTACATTGTCCCATTCGAATAACTCATTCTTGGTGCGCCTTTTTTTTTTTTTTTCCTGTGTGTGTGTGTGTGTGTGTGTGTATGTGTGTGTTTTGTCTAAGAGTGTATAAACTATAACAGTCAACAAACAAGGTGCGTGTGCTTTCACTTTTTTTATGATTCAGTGGCAACAGTGAAACGATGCTTTATTTCTACTATTCAAATCTAGGAGCCTTTTTTCTGGATTTTGGATAACGGATTGTGATGGAATTGTGTATGCCGATGATTAAATAAATGTTCATGTTTTGTATATCTCTTGCAGTTCTTTAATTTCCGCAGCATCTTTTTTTAATAACTACGGTATTTGTCACTTTAAAGCAACACTTATTATTTTCCAGATGATATTTGTACCTTAAATAAAAATTCCTTTTTGGGGTAAATAATAATATAAAGAAGCGAATACGCAGTTTAGAATATCAAGAAATGCTGTTATTGGACATTTTCAATTACTACTGGTAATTTTCCAGTAGCAATAATAGGCATCTTCTTTCTTTATTAAAAGAGCGATGAAATGCTATGTGCCTCTATGGGAAGTTACAAAAATTACTTAAAAAATAGCCTCCAACTAAAATGAAATTAACCTTTTGCATTTTTGAATCAAAACGAACAAGGTGCGAACAAAACGAACAAGGAACAAATTATTCTTGCTCATCAGACATGCGACTGTTCGAAATTGTTTTCATAATAATGTTTATTTAATATTTAAAAAGACTAATTCCATTTCCTGTCTGCTGAAATAAATTATTTCAACGAAATGTGCATCAGGAATCGTTCTGTTGTATGTAAAATATAAATCATTCTTCATTTTAGCATTTAAATTTGGATACCACGAGAAAAAATATTTTATCGTGCTATGAATCTCGAAATGGGTACAATAAGCACCGCATCACTTCTCAAACTGTTGCCGCCAAATATTATTGCTCTGCATTATTTTCAAAGAAATTAAATGATGAAGAATCTGTATGCATGTATGTATGTCATGTTGTGAATATTCGACGGCACCTAGAGCCATCAGATTTGAATAACGTAGTCTTCCGCCCGAGCGTGAGCATCTTCAAGCCAGAATTTTAAATTTCGAAGTTGTTATTTATTTCATATTTTTCCAAATTTTAAGGGATTTTTGATTGAAAAATTCAACGATTTCAAAGCGAGCTGTGGCGCCACCGTTTGAAATATAACGATTTTTATCTCCAGTGCGTGAGACTGTTGCCATTCGAAAAAAATATACGTCATCTTCAATGTTCTTATTTTAAAAATTTCAATTACATACTGGGCTCTATGAAAGCAACGGGTCGCCGGGGCCGGAAATGAAATACTTGTAATTTCCACGCGCCAGCGTGTTTTTATTCAGTAAAGCCTAAGATATTTTTAATTTAATTTGGAAGGTTATTGGGTAATAAACTAAGGCGATTTAAAAGAAATAAACACAGTTCTTAAAATCATTTTTCTGTTTTTTAATGTGACTGATTTAAATAGACATCTATTAAAACCATGAGATGTCTAATAGAGAATATTCGATATTTGTGTGAAATTACACTAGCTGCACTCATTAAAATCATTACATACAATTTATTGTTTATGACAATTATTTTAAAAGGCTGACCACACGAGCGGCAAGTTTTTAAAGAAATAATATATCCAATATAAATATGTGCATGGCAACATCTAAGACTCTATCGGGAATTATAAAAATACGATGTTTTTAAATATTTTGTGATTTCGCTGTTGAATTGATTTTGTGTGATGACGTAAGTGCGAAGAAAGTGATAAATTAAAATTATACGATAAAAAGTATTTTGCTACCCATCTCACTAAGAAAACTGAATACTGACAGTATAAACTGAGAACAGTTTGAAAAAAATATGTAAATGTATGACAACACTTAACACTGCATCGGGAAATCTAAACATATGCTGCTATGCAGCTTTTTAAAATTTTTATGATTTTGTTGTTTGTATAACAACGTGTGGCTTAAATACAAAGAAAACGATGCTTAAGAATAAAGCTAAAAAGACAAAAACAAAAGGAGGAGAGAGTTAGTGAAAAAGCAAGACGTAGACTGCGAGCTTAATGACAGCGTAAAAAACCTTAACAAATCCCTTTAGGCGCTTTTAAAATCTGTCTCCTTTCAGATTTTATTTAATAAATCAATGTTTATTTTTTTTTTAATTTATTTTATTTTAGTATATATTCTACATCTAATCAAACCTGCTCAAAATCTACTAAATTCTGAAAAGCAAAAAATTATTATGTCCTCCATATTTACTTTCGTGAAATTTTCACAAAGACTGCTTTCTAATCAAAAAATCAATCTACAAAATAGCTTTTTGTCAGTTTCAGAACTTTTTTAACTTTTCCTAATACATTTGAGTCAACCATAGTTTTTATATTATTCAAACTAAACGTGGAGAAAAATTATTATAGGATACAGTTAATGTCAAGATAAATAACTGAATGCACAACTAATTGATTTACTCCTGACGCAAATCGGAACGAAGAAAAAAGAACATTGTTTTTTGTCTAACTCAATATTTCACGTCATGCTTAAAAACGAATGAAATTTGTTGCCTTGAATAATTTCTTCACTACATTCTATCAATCATCCCACATTCTCTTAGCTACATTCCCTTAGGGTGGAAGGAATTTCTAAACTGATAACTTGACCTTGTTCTTCTAGAAAACAAAGATCCAGATTGAATAATGATTTGGTGATTAGTGCCAACTACTGGTTTGCAACAGATGGCTTAAGGTTGCACTAAAATCAACCTTATACGATATCACCATACGGTCAAAAGACTAATTCAAGCGTCTTATAATTCGACGAAATTAATAAAAATAACTAATTAAAAAATAGAGAGAAAAAAATAGAGAAATAGAGTCTGAAAGATTTTCAGACTTTAACGGTCGCTCAAAAGGGTTTGTTAAGCAGTTTTACATTCCTGCTAAGCTCACAGTTTATCAGTCTGCTGCTGCACTCACTCCTGTTAACACTTTTTTGTTGTCTTTTTAGCTTTATTGTTAAGCATTATTTTCTTCCCACTTACGCCATATACAGTTCAACAGCAAAATTATAAGAATTTTAAAAGCAGCGTAGCAACATATGTTTAGAATTTTCGATGTCTCATTAAACTTGGTACACATTTCCTACTTTTTTCAATCTTTTCTCAGTTCATCATATCAGTGTTCAGTTTTCTTAGTAAGATGACGTACAAAACTTTTTTTTTGTCTTTATATTGTAGGGTTTATATTTATTTTAACTAACATTTATTTTAAGTTTAAACTATCTTTCCTGTCAAGCCTTACTTTCCCCTGGAACTGCCAATGCCAGAGTATGTAAATTTTAGTAGAACGCGCAAGATTCAAATTATCAGCGGAAAGTATTCTGAGTTAAATAGAAAGGAAACGAGTTCGAGGTGTGCCGTTCTTCTTACTTCACGAGCGCGGAGGGTAGTTAGCCAGAAATTGGAAGAACCCCGCGTTTCGGCCTGTGTGCTTGCCTGGAAGAAGTGTTAATTCCTTCAGTTTTGCTGATTTAGCACGGTATTGTAAAACGCGGTGATGTTAGTTACTTTAGAGAGCCTCGTAGTTAGAGTCTTGTCATTAGTTTTCTTTTCAGGTTATTATTTATTTTATTTATCGCCGAGTTGGCGTAGTTTGTGAGCGTCAAGAGCACGCACTTGTATTTATTACGTTGAATAAAAAGGGACTTAAACTCTTAACAAGACTCTGTCATTTATCCAGTTTCAACAGTCACCTCTTGGTTGCGTGCAAGTTGGAGGCGCGCAACGCTACAATATTATTAACGTTTTCGGAGCTAACTCTATCTATAATAAAAAAAATTTATATGGCTTAACATACAAAACGTTAAGCCATATAAAATTCAATTCAGTGTAAAAATCAACAGCATATATTTAGAATTTCCGAATTTTCCTTCTTCAGTGCACTCAGAAAACAAATATCATTTTTAAAATGATTTGTCCATGTACAGATTGTTATCGTCTTACTAACAAAGTTCTTGCAAACTACCTGCGAAGACTACTCCGAACATTCTAACTCCATTCTAAATGTTGAACTTTATCCCAGGCTAATATAAGAATCGACCCATCACAATAAATTAAACACGAACTGACATTCAGTCAGCAATTTCGCCGAATCAACTGCACATTCATCTTATTGCTGACTGAATGCTTTTATGGATGATTTGAGGTCTAAAGAGTAGCAAGAATAAGAAAGGACGAGATTCAAATTACAAGAACATAAACATAAAGTTATATTACAAGATACTGTAATATTAATGTTATTACGTCTTCTTACTCGAATCTAAGTTTATATTAAAGAAAAAACATTGTGATAATTATCTACAGTTTAAGCAAGAATACTTTTTATTTGTCACGTTCTTACTGTAAGCGCGACCCCTTTCGGAAGTTAAATTATTCGCATAATTCTCCCCTCTCGAATTTCGAACGATGAAATTAGTGAAAATAAAAAGCTGAAAAATATGCGAGGAAATATCGTGTTAGGAGTCAATAAAAGTATTCTTTCCAAAATTCGGAATTAAAATTTTTAACATTATTTGATTAAAATATTTAGTGTCTTTTAAGTTAAGATTCAAAACATTAGAATGACTAAGAATACACGAGGATTCGAGATCTCGACTTTTTGCCAAGATTCGCGGAATTTGAAGATTCGAATATCTCATTCCTAAATAGAATCTGTGTTTAAGAATATAATATTTGACTTATTGTGATAAAAATCAACTACTTATGAATCACAAATTCTTGACTTATGAGTTACACATAAATTTCATCTGTTTTTAGACACACGTGTATGTGCAAAGAAAAAATGTCTCAAGAGACCTTCTTTTGGTATTATAGAAAAACATTCTCACCTTCTCTCGGATTCTATCCTGGCCAAATCGGATGCTTGCACGAAGAAGGTATATCGAGCTGGTTTCTCTCGGATGGAGCGGAAAGATTCCATAATATACACGGATCCATTTTCCGGGTGAACATCAAAAGGTACAGTTTGACTAAGGCTATCGTTCTGACGTTGGTAGCGCACGACCCCGTTCACGTCCAAATCCGGATCCAGAGCAATTACCTAATCATAAGTACATCTCAAATTAATGCAAAAATTATACCATCACTGTGCAAGAGATAATAAAATAATTCAAATTTCAAAATATTGTTAACATTTTGTCAAAACTAAGCTATTCATGTGTTTAAAATATAACAATAAATAACTTTTATTATTTCTAAAAATAATGATTGTGGATTAATACACCAGTCTTATCACAAGATAGACAATGAGTTGATAAAACTTCTATCTTTAGAAGAAACATATAAACAGATATCAGTTTGTAAGGTATTTCTCCAGCTTTTCCAGCGTGCCTTCGTAGTGTAGTGCTTCTGCACACTGGGCCGGTATTCCAGAGGTCCGTGGTTCGATTCCCGGCGAAGACGGTTACTATTTTTCATCTTTCCAGCTTCCAAAAAATATACCTAATGTCTCTACAAGTTTATTTATAGAAAGTATATGGTATGTTTATTCTTGAACTTAAAATTAAAAGTATTTAATGGTTTCAACTATTCCACTTCTCAATACTTCAGAATAATGTGAAATGTATAGCTTATGGATCAAGCTTCTCATTTCCTTTAAAAAAATAATGGAATACTCTGAAAACTTTTTGTCAAGCTAACTATTACCCAAGCATGGCTGCTGTCATCGGTGTAGTTATTACCGATGCTGGCTGACGGATCGTTGGAACCGGGTTTGAATTCAAAAGATGGTTTGGATATTTGTGAGCGTGTAGTGCTTTTGTGGTATGGGAACACATACAATATCACCGAAATGAAGGTTTTATTTTGGAGGCTTGGCGCTAAAGCCAAAGGGATTGCAGATTCTTGAATCTGACCCCCTAGGGGATTCTTTTTCAAAACTGAGACAGAACTAGGTAAAGTCAAACTGCCTTCTATAAGGTGCTCAACGTCCGTGCTAATGATAGAGGCAATCCTCGGCGCGACAAAATTTGAAGATTTGCTCCGATGTTACAACCAAACAAGTGAGATGAGTCACAACAATCCAGAGGCTGAGTCTTACTGTAGACGCTCAGCTTTCCACTCGGGGTCGACTGGAAGCAATCCCGCCGTTCTGGTTAAGTCAATACCTAGACAAACTCGACTTTTGGGGAAAAATTAACGGTCTTCACAATAACTAGAACCATCGCTAATTTGGTGGTAGGTTCAGGCTCATCAGGGACCATATGGTGCTGTCTTGTCTGGTGAACGCTACATGGTCAGATAATTAAGATGCAATATCATACCGAACAAGTATTAATTTAGAAGTCAAACAATAAAAATCAGCGTTATATTTTCAAATTTTCACAGCACTACTTTCGATGGTTTTTACCGAATCATCATCCTCAGCTGGAAAAGCGCAAATGAACGAGATAAGATATGACACGAATGACTGGACAGTAGTTAATCTACTGGCGCCATCTTTTGATGAAACGAGAACTAAAACATAATTTCCTTAAAGGCTGAAGGCAAATATCGATTAGAATTAGGGTCTTTAACAAAAACAGAAAGATTTTTTTGAATGTGAAATGCCTCTAAAAAATCCAATTCACTAATGGAAGATGTTTTTTGAATAATTTTGGCTGCAGAAAAATTGAAAGCGTGATTTTCGGACCAACAATGCTGGGCAACAGAAGACTTCTGTGTTTCCTTTTTTATAACACAAGCTTCCTGTTCCTTAACGCGAAATTTTAAGGCTCTCCTAGTTTGAGTTTCAGTTAGATACCCTAAAAATTCATATACGGAATGGGGTCCTTTAGCATGCAACTGGGGATTTTATTGATGGCAGAATAAACGGCCCGAAAGTTAAATTTCTGTAAAATACGTGCAATGTTATAGCTAATTGATGGAAAGAAAGTATTTCACATTCAAAAAATCTTTCTGTTCTAGTTAACGACCCTAATTCCCATCCATCTTTGCCTTCAGCCTTCAAGGAAATTATGTTTTAGTTCTCGTTTTATCAACAGATGGCGCCAGTAGCTTAACTCCTGTCCTGTCTTTCTATCTCGTTCATTTGCGATTTTGCAGCTGAGGATGATGGTTCGGTAAAACCATCGAAACCAGTCCTGTAAAAATTTGAAAATATAACGTTGAGTTTTGTTGTTTGACTTCTAAATTAATACATGATCAAATATCAAAGGCTTTGGGTTTCAATCCTTTGGGGTTTGGCTCCACTTGTTCAACACTGGGAGACGGTCGATGTCTAACTGTGACTTTGTTCTCTTTGTGGTGGATGCGTTGCCATTCACCTATGACTTGTGTGCCTATAGCCCAGACCGTGTGAAACATTTAAGTACCCCTGGATTGGCCGGGGTATTATGCTTCCTTGGATTGCCTCTAGATTTAACTCTGTATGGCAGCTTCGAGCTAGCCAAGTCTGGATCCCCATCCACTTAGTGTAGTGTAGATGCTCAGCTACCATCAATACGAATTTCTCAAATAATAATTTTACATAAATGTAATAATAATTTAAATAATAATAACGCATAATCAATGCCAGAATCTAAAGTCATTCGAAATATGCTGGTGAAAGAGTATTGGCAGAAGAAAAAAACTTAATGATAAGCCTAAAAGCGTTTATGTAATAAACGAACTTCCAAAATGCATACTGATGCTGATAAGAAGAAAAAGTCAAATAATCCTAAGCACTCTGCAAAGAAACTGGATCTTTAGGCTCTTAAATGCTTTGCATTGTATAACCTACCTGTCCAACTATCGTAAAAGGTGGGTCAACTTCAGTGGCGCTGAAGACATAGACACTACTTGGCACAAACTGTGGATTGTTATCGTTGGCATCTAAAAGATGGACTTCCACAATTGCTGGAGTGGCTCGTGCAGTGGGATTGACATTCGGTTTCTTTTCGCGGGCAAAAACACGCATGCGTATAACATCTTTGGTTTCTCTGTCCAGCTTGCTGGGATCCTTTACACTGATGGCTCCTCCAGAAGGGTCGATGGCAAAAGCTCCTGATTCATCTTCTAGCTCGTAGCGGAATTCGGCATTGTCACCCTGAAGAAATAATTATAATAATAAGTTCTAAACTATTACAATAGCGAAAAATTGAATCAAAGTCAATAGAAAAGGGGGCACAATATTATTCCTGCAATTTATCACCATTTAATTTTTAAAAACCTACTTACTGGTATAAAATGATGTAACGTTAAAAATGAATTCGTTCGTCAGTACGGAGAAATCTAGTGAAAATTTATAACTTTTAAAATACAACGCTATCACGGCTAAATGGTACCAAAATTTATGAAAACGTTTAGAATATCGAATCGTAAATTAATTAACTATAAATAATGGTTACTAATGGTAAAGAAAAATAAAAAAATAGGGCAAAAAGGGCTCAGTAGTAGTTTATAGATGAAGTCGTTGATTTTGAAAATAAGTTGTTTATTAAAAAGACGATTATATTAAGAAACTTAAAGGCCGCTTTTCTCAGAAATAATTTATTTTTAGTTCTTTCTTATGATACCTATTTTCCATTTGCCTATTCTGTTTTGTTTTATTACGTATCGTGAATTTTATTAAATAAACTATGAGTTATATTTGTTAAAAATGTTTACTAAGGATAAATCAGTATAGTATATATAAACTGGAATTCATCAATGATTCTAATTTTAACTATTTAAAGAAAACCTAGAAATATATTTCTTTATTTTTTATCACATGGAACAATTCTTCAACATTACTTTAAATTTAAATGCGCATTCTACATAAAATCATATGCCTGAATGTTAATATGGTTAATGATGTAACACTTCTAGATCTCGCGTAACCGATATTTCCGTTACATTCACACTGGTGAAAGATTATATTACTTCCGTCACACTGACGTTACCGGAAGATGAATAATAAAAAAGTAGTACTCACGGAATCTTCATCAAAAGCAGATACTTGGACAACCGTGAACCCAGGAGGCAAATTTTCCATCACAGTGATATTGTACAATTCATATTCAAATTCAGGAACATTATCATTCACATCTAGCACTTGCACATCCACTTTGGCCATGGCGGTTCTCAAGCTGTTATCCGTCTGCGTGGCCTGAAAATGAAAGGTACAGACTAGTTAGGAAACACTCATTTCCAGTGCAAATAATTTTACTTAGAAACAGAACTCGAACATGCTACGAATATATCTTTCAGAATAATATGACGTGAAAGTACAGAGTATTCATAATTTAATCATCGGATAACAAAATGAAATTGAAACGTAATTTTACGTAGTGACAGGAAATAACTTATAATCGATATAAGTTCTTGTTCTTTGTTCTAATTTTTGGGAATGGCAAAAGGGAACTTGTTTGTTTACAGACAAAAGGGCGTCATGAGTTGTAAAAGCGATGTGCAGTCTCTGGTTATGGGATGCGAAATCTTCGAAAACAGTTTAGTGGAGCTTCTAACATGAATTGAATAAACCTCCACTAACAAAACGATGAATTAAAAAGTATTTAAAACAGTTGGTTAAACAGACCTGGATTGGCATAAAGGAAGTGCAGGTAGGCCAAGTGTATGTCCTTTTGGACCCACTGTTCTGCATTTCACTACTTCACGAGCTTCTAGAAGTACCTAATTCAAAACAGCCGGAAACAGCATGCGAAATGCATGCTAATCGCAGCGATCACTGGCACCTGGAACATGGAACAAGCGTCGGTGATGAAAATGTTTTCGTTATTCGAAATGTGTTTGTTTGCAGTCACGGCAAGTCCATTCGACCTACCAGCTTGTAACCAGGAATTCCCAGGTCGACAGTTTATAAAGTTGCTCACGAAAAGTTGAAACTGACTACGTACAAATATTAGATTTGTCAATAAATAAAGTCTAATGATCGAGTCATTCGTAAAAGTTTTCTGAAGGCATTTTGATCGTATCCCTAATGACGATTAGTTTCTTTAGAAAATCGTATACAGTGATGAAGCAGCATATCATGTTTAAGAACTGATTAATCGACATAACTGGAGGATTTTGCTGTTAGAAACCCGCATTTTATGAGGTAAATTGATTGAGGTAGCCCTTAAGTTATCATTTGATGATAACTAACTGATAATAAAATGATTGGTCCTTTCTTGTCTCGGAGTCATCAGTTAATTCGAATGATTACTTCGATATGCTGAGATTGTTAGAAAAACGTTATTTTCCAACAGGATGGGGCCCCCTGTCATTGGGTTACGTATGTACACGTGTTTCTTGTTGAAACAATGAAACATTCTCAGATCATTGGATTAGTAGATGTAGACCAGTTTCGTGGTCAGCCCGTTCTCTGGACGTCACATCACTCGACTCCATTTTCTAATACCTGAGAAGAACCGAGTTTATGCTGCAGAGATTTGCAGCACCAAAGAATTAAAAAATCGAATCACCTAAGAAACGGCAGCTGTTACTCCGCAAATGCTTACAATAACTTCTGAAGGGAACTCAAGAATAGACTTTATATTCGTCGAGCAACTAATGCTACACATGTTGAAGTGCATTAATATAAAATTATTTGAAGTGCTAAATAAAATTCACTTTCTTTCTTTTCACCATCGACGAAACAGCTGGCCCACTGGGTTAGGTGCTTTTCAGCCTGTTGGATCCCGTCGATGGAATTAAAAATAAATACATGAATAAACGTAATTAAAGAGCGTAATACTGTGTCCTCTGGGGATTGGCCACGAAACGAGAAACATTGAAAAAAGGACCAGAACATGGAAAGAAGGTGCATGGTGGGGACTGCTGAGACTAAGCGGAACACTTTTCACTATTATCGTACATGTTAGGCATACAGTTATATTAAGGATGTGCTATAAAAATCAGGTACAGATGTAAAGATGACCAAATACATTACAAATTGTGGAATACATTAAATGTGTTCTGGATTAATCATAATATTAAATATAATTAAAAACAGCAAAAACAAAAAAAAACACAAGACATTAAGTAAATTAATATATGTACAGAGCAGGCTGCTGACGTCACGGTGTCCAAGGAAAGTAGTCACTCCAGGTTGTCAGCAATGCTTTTAGCAATGGTAGTGCAGTCTCTAATGCGGCTGAGCGTATATTTATTCTTAATTGTGTTCTTGAACCATGCTGGCGTATTGATTGCAGTTGGTCTTTTTAAATGCGAATTCCCTGTGTGCGAGCAGTCAAACAGATAGTGATCTGGGTCACCAGTACTGCCACAAATACATTGGTCACTGTCTCTTAGGCGAAATCTGTGAAAATAGGACATATATGGGCCATGCCCTGTCAGATACTGTGTGATGTGCGAAGTGAGGTTTTTTTTTCCTATGTCTTATTCTATGTTACTTAAAACGTCTCTTTATCCGGTGAATAAATTATGAACCCCCTGTATTATAAGCCGAAACGTAATCGACTATAAAATTTGAGCTAATCTGAATGCTATAGAACAGGGTTTCTTAAACTGTGGGTCGCGGGTCCTGCAGCAGGGGGTCACCAAAATTTTTAGAAGTTTTCATATTTCTTTAACTTATTATAATACTTTTACAACTACCAAATATTTTTACACAGTGTATCTGAAAATAGATAAGGATAAGACAATACAGACAAAGAAAAAACGAAAAAGTTTCGACGCATTCTTTTTATAATATAAACGTTCATTTCCCTTGCTTTGCACGAGACTCTGCCATTTCGTCTGTTGCTTATTTAAAATTTTCACATTGTTCTATGTCTTAAAATTAGAAATTAATGACCTAAAACTGCAATAATTACAGTACAAGTGAATAGTTACAGTACTATTACAGTACAAGTGCAAACACTCACGCGTTTGTCGGATTTGAGCAATACGTATGGGGTCCCACAAATTTTTTGTAAATATTATGATGTCCTGGGGGTCGCAAAAAAAATATCAGTGATAAAAATGGGTCGCGACTGAAAAAAGTTTAAGAAACTCTGCATAGAATTCCATCTATCCGAAATAATTTGGATAACATTATTTTTTGGAATATCCAAAAAATTATTTTTAGCAGTAAACGCTATCATTCTTAAGTAAACGTTTATACTGTAATATATTAATATAAATGAGTCTGAATTTCTATTAATTTTTTTCTTTTATTTGCTAACATTTGAAACGCAGTGTTTATGAAAATTATTTCAAGGGTACATATTTCAATATTCTTTTCTTTTAAAAACTGCAATTATTTTTTTTAAATTTCTAAATATACGATTCCCTGTAATTAAAAGCGACAGTGAAGAGATTATTGATTAAACTGGACACGACATCAGATTCAATGACTCCGCACCGAAACGGTGCGGAACATTTAATTTGAATTTCAATTAATATTAAAATTGAATTTCATTAATTAACGAAATTCAAATTAATATTAAATAATTTGCACAGCAATTTAATTTATTACATTTTTCAGCCCCTCACACTTTATTTAACTTTTATTAGCCCAGAAGTTCTATTAATTTCTTGCTGGCATTTTGCGTTGGTTCTAAAAATATGAATCACTTTTCAAATTGTTGCCACCAAATATTACAGCCAATTATTAAAGAAATTAAATAATGAAGAATCTACATAAGTGTATGTATGTTTCTCGCATTGTAAAAAAACGACGTTACCTAGAAGCATCAAATTTTGAATAACGTAGTCCTCCACTCGAATATGGGCATCTGGAAACCCAAATTTGGAATTTGTTTTATTATCTATTTCATATTTTGTAAAATTTTAACGACTTTTTTATCAATAAATTCAAAGATTTCAAAGAATTCCATTAATATTAACACCGCGTGCATCTTCAAGCACGGATGTTTTATGCGCGAGGTTTCTTTACATTTCTTACTGGTACTATGCTGGTGTAGCAACGCAAAGACGCCACAATATCTAACGTTATTTTGCGTCGAATGGCTTTGAATGTCTGTATCACTTTTCAAATCCCGTTAATCCCCCGCATAAAAAACGCCGCTTTGGGCGTAATACAAAATCTGAAAGTTTTCAGATTTATTACTTCTGTATTATTTTTTTTAATCTAAATGATTGCCTTTTATTTAACTTTTCTGATTGCCTTTCGTAAGGGCTCTCGCACTTCTAATTTACCAAATTAAGCCCTGCCAAACACTGAAGCAAACGTCAGCGTCAGATGTAAGCGTGATACCGATTGTATAAAGCAAAAACTGTAAGAACAGGGTTTACGAAAAAACTTGGAAATCTAAAGTACAGAATCAGGAGAATTAAAAACACTGTATTAACCAAATTAACTGTATAAACCGTTTTTGTCCGAGCCCAACGAATGGCACAAACTGACTAAAAGAGACATGTCAGACTTATTAGAGAGAGAAGTTCGATAAAATAAATGAGTATAAGAACACTGATTAGGAAAGGGCATAGAGATCCAACATGCTGAGTCAAGAGAATTAAAAATATTACACTAATCAAACAGACCCTTTTTGTCCAAAGCCAAAGATAAAGCAAACTGAATGAAAGAAACACGTCAGAAGTAAGGAAGAAAGTGGAAAGATAAAAAAGATCAGTAGAGGGAACAGTGATGAAAAGAAAGCTTAAAAATACAGAGTACTGAGACTGGGGTGAGAATCAGCAACACAGCACTCCAAAATAGATCATTTTTGTCCAAGATTAAAGTCTAAAATAAACTGCGTGAAAGAAACACGTCAGACATAAGAAAAAAGTGACAAGTTAAAAGATAAGTATACAAAAAAACAGTAATTATTAAGACCAAAGCAGTTTCCAAAGCTAACGGTAGTAGCAGTGGGTATAAGGATTCAAAATACTGAGGTAGTAGAATTAAAAACACAGTACAGTAAGACCCCGCTTAACGCGGGGGATACAAAAGTAGAGCGTAATGCGAAACAGCGCTAAACGAGGCTATCTTTACATGTAAATATTGGGGTTAGGGGAAGATGGCTAGGAAATTGGTTAGGTATTAAATTTAAAAAGTATGTTTTTTTAATAAAAATAAAACCAAACATTTATTTCTTAAAGCCCAAATTAATACCACATTATTATTTCTTGCAAAAATAAAAACAAAATATAAATAACAAAACGAATATTCTTTTAAAAAAAAACAAATAAAATTCTAAGTCA